TAGATTGCCAACGGATATTTAGTGCTTGATGGGATAGATTGTGCGGTGCCTTCAACCTTATTGAGTAACATCCACTCAACTAATAACATGAAGCTCATTCAAAATGAAGTTATTGAGTAACACAAAGCCGAACTTTTACAGTATACTCAAACACCAGTGCCCTGACTTCTTGCGACGATGGCATCTGCCTTTAGGCTTCTTCAAACCTCGAGCTAGCTAACACCTAAAGCAACCCTATAGGGGGCTTAAATCCTGGCCTAAAACACGGATCTAGAAACTTCTCTACCGGTTGACTGAAACTAGACCAAGGACGAAACCCTTCCCAGGAGATCACCATCGAACCGGCACCAACAATACCACCCCCAACTCTTCCCTAGCCCGGCCATTGAGCACTGCCCACCGAAAGTTGCACCCGTCGGCCGCCCCTATTAAGCCAACACCATAGTCAATCCAACCTAACGGAAGCTACATCATTAGAATATCTGTTGTGCTTTATTGTAATATATAACCGTCGGATTTTCCGTTGGAATGTTGTTATTTTTCCAGTGATATAAGATAAGATAAAACACAAGTTAAATGGGAAAACAATCAAAATTATATTAAAATAAAACCTTTAGAATAATGATGTTGTTACTAACCGTCGATCAACCATACTTTTTTTTATATATATAAACAAATACATACTTTTATCATGAAATGTCATATTTTTATTTATCGTACTATTTAAAATACAACACTTTAATATAAAATACATATATTTGTTCGAAGAGTTCTGATACTAAAAACTTTGTCATTGAATAACAAAGAAAACCCAACTTATATGAATCACCCGAATCAAATTTTCTTATCTTTAATTAATCAATCAGAAGACTCACTCGAACATTATCCTTTTGAGATCGATTAGTCTCATGTTTGGGAGTCAGTAATAGTTTTTGTTTTGTAGTGTTGTGTTTGTGTTTTTTAACGTTGCTAGGTTCGGCTCTAAATGATCTTCGAGTCTGCCTCTCAGTCTATTTAGCCATTGTTTGTATCATTCAACCTTTGGTTGATTTCTTATGCGCACTTGTGCGTTACATAAAATCTTCATCGTTCAAATAAAAAAAAAAA